GACAAACACTCCTGAGAGTGCCTGCCCTGAGCGCGCGCGTGCGCGCACACACACACACACACACATATCAGGTGATGGAGAGAAGGTGTCTGGGGAAGGCCCAGCTGCATATCCTGCAGGCCCATCTCAGCACCTGCGGCCACGGGAGCTTGGTGGTGACTCCTCGCCTCAGTGTGTGAGGCCAGCTCTTGCTGGGGCCTCTGCCCCCACCAGGTTTGGCAGTGGCTCACCGGAGGCTAGGCCCCTGCTTGGACAGAAAGGTCAAAGTCCCAGAGCCCCGACAGGCACCCAGCTGGCAGTGCAAAACAGATGGAAAGGCATAAGGGACACAGAGAATTCAAGGACAGAAGAATTCACCTTCCCAGCTCCCAACTTCAAGGGGTCTTTGTAACACTCCCCAAGACATTCAAGGGACAGATTGAATATGATGTTTTGTGGGGGGGTGTGCTAGGCAGACTGCTACATTCCTAGGGCAGAAGGCCTGGCAGGCATGGGGCCCTGACCCCCAGGGCAACACCTCAGCTGAGCCCCGTGGCTGCAGAGAAGGATGCTACGTGCAGTTTTGAGGGCCACCATGCCTGCCGGAGCTGCCCCACTGGGCAAAGGCCTGAGATTATCTGATGTACCCTGGTGCTGGCTACCTAGCCGGCCAGGCTGCCTTCTCTCCACACTTGACACAGGAGGGGTGCATGGGGAACATCCGTGGAAACTTAACCTCTGCTACAGACATTAAACAGGCTCTAACCACCTGCTCTGCTGGAAACAGGACTGGGCATGGAACACTGAAATGCCACGTGGCCCAGAACTGGGCATGTTAAAGAAGGCATCCTGGCTCCGAATCCTCCACTTCTGGCCAAAAGGGAGAAAGGCAGACATACCTTCCCAATCGACCCTATGAAGATATGTCTCTGGGGCTCACCCACCCAACGAGGAGGGAAGAGCCGGTAGGGTCTGGCCGGGCTGTGGCTGGGGGCACTGCCTGGAGAACCAGGCAACAGAATAAGGGGAGCAAAATCAGCAGACAGAAAGCAGGGAGGTGTTTTTGAGTAAATACATATGGGGCAGGGTCGCTTCCTGGTAGGAGGAAAGGAGACAAGGCAAGAAAAGCATAGAGAGATGTCGAGGAGAAAAGGGCCTCAGATTGGAGGACTCCCGTTCTGCTAGACTTAACTGCTGAGAGAACGACCCTTGGGGATGAAACAAGTCGGCTGGAGATGTGGGGCGGCCATAGGTGGGGCACCTCCAACCTGCTCCGTCAGTAACACTCCCCTTGCCTGGTCACAGCCTCACCGGTGTGCCTGGTGGCAGATGATCTCCAGGACTTGAGGGGGGGCTAGGACTCCATTCTCCCCAGGGTTCCTGTGCTCTCTTGCACCTTGTAGGAGGCAGCCCCGGAGAGAGGGACCACCCCTGGTAAGGTACCGAGGGCAGTGGGGCACAGATGGGGTATGAGGGACTCAAGGCGGGAAGGAGGCATCAGCTGCAGAGGGAGGGCCAGCCCTGAGCCAGTCACTTTAAGGAGTCATCCGCGTTTTTGAACATGAGAATGGCGTTATAGATCTTCAAGGCGGGGCCCAGCTTGACGCTCATGATCTTCACAATGTCAGCCTGTGTCAGCAAAAGGAAGGCCTCGCCGTCAATCATCTGAGGGGTTGCGGGAGGGCGGTGGAAAGTGGAGAAGGTGGAGAGGGTCACAGGGAAGGAGGAGGGCAGGGGATATGTGTGGGGAGTGGGGAGGGGAGAAAGAAAATTGGAGTCAAGGACCAATGGGGGAAAGGAAGGAGGAGGGAGGGGGAGAGGAAGGAAAAGGAGAAAGGACAAGGGAGGGAGAAAGGAAAAAAGGAAGACAGCAATGGGGACAGAGAAGGAGAGAAAGATATCCACTGGTTCCCCATGTTCACACACACACACACACACACACACACACACTCCTCTTTCTGCTGACTGGTCTGGATTTCAGTGTGTATTTGCATAACGTCTTCTGAGTCCTCACTGATAGTGGCTTCAAAAAACCTGCTGTGACTGTCCCCACCCAACCCACTGCTCACTCTCAGTGCTGCTATGGTAAACAAGCAGATACTATGGGCATTCCAACACCATGCAGGCTGAGCTCTACCATGTTACCTATGAGCTATTCTTGAGAAGAGGTGGGGAAGAGAGGAAGAGGGAAAGACAGAGATTTAATCTGAATCCAACTAAGCCTCTGCATCTGACGTCAGTTTATAGGAAACACAGGGGAGAGTGAAGCTAGTTAAATGACACCATGAGGAAGCAATGAGACAGATCCAGGACACATTCTCCAAGACTTTTTCCAATGTCATGAAAAAAGAAAAAGGAAAAAAAAGGAGAAAAAAACCACTCTAGAATATAAGATATTTAAGAGACACCACAACCCAAATCAATTATGTGGACCTTATTTGGGTCCTGGCTCAAAAACACCAACTGAAAAAGATATTCTGGGTACAAGCAGGGAAATTTGAATACAGACTGGGTCTTAGGCGATATAAATGAGTTACTGTCAATTTGTTTGGTGGGATAACAAGTTTGTGGTTATGGAGAGAAAGACTTTCGTTTTCAGAGATGCACGCTGAAGTACCCAGGGGTGAAATGTCAGGATGGCCATTATTTACCTAAAATGACTTCATCTAAAAACAGGTGAAGCAAATATGGAAACTGCTGATAATTGTTAATTCTACAGGAGAGGTATAGGAGTAGGGAAAAGTAAGGGGAGAAAGAAGCCATGGAGGATGCAATGAGGGGAAGAGAGCGGGGGTGGGGTGCTAGGGATGGGGTGGGGGTGGGGTGGTGAGCATGCAGGGCACTGCCTCTCTGGGAGTGGGCCTGGCTGGGCTGGAGATCCTCTGGGCAGGAGGTCCATGCAGCTCCTGGTCCCACCATTGAGCTTGAAGAACCCCCTCCTCTGGGTACTGGGACCCCTTTTTCAAAGAGGCATCCTTGCCCCCCTCCTTAAGAATCATGGCAAATAAAACACTTCTATGCTGTTTCTTATGTGCTCAGCACTGTTCCTAAACACTTTTCATATATTAACTGACTTAATCCTCACAACAGCCCTCTGAAGCAGTACCAGTATTACCCCCATTTTGCAGATAGGAAACAGAGGCAAAAAGGCTAAGGAGTTTGCTCTCATCATGTTATGCTGGGCCATGCACACAATAGATACCAATAATTATTTGCTGAATAAATTAAATGAATACACAAGAGCTACAATAAAGATGATGAAGAGGGAACTAGGCACTTTCCTTAGCACCATCAGTGATGACTATCAGACTCTACAGACTGCCCATAAGACCATCTCTCTGATATGCTCTAGTTTCTCATTCACAAAGCATCCCTCTAATGACTGATCTATGCCCCAGCTGGAAAGTATCCTGACTCATGTCCCTGAAAGCATCAGCTCAGCCAGAGAAAGCCTACTCCCTGGAGCATGGTCCTCCCTGGGGAAATTGATGATGTGGACCAGATCCTGGAGAAGGCAATCCTCAGACCCTGCAAAGGTCCTCCTCCACCCTGAGATTCTATTTGACGCTGGTGGTCCACCAGCACACCTTCCCAGCTTTTGCCATTGCTTTTTGTATCACAGATCAGATGTACCGATACA